CTGAGAAATGTCAGTCAGCTTGGTTAGTGTGGGAGATAGCATTAAAAAGCCAGTTAAGTTAAAAATATTGTAGGTATAATTAAATTAATGTTCACCCACTCTGGCATACGTAGATTCGTGGATTTGATGGGCTCTAGAATTTACACAGGGTTAACTGAACAGAATTCCTTTTTTTATCTTCTTGTGGAGATCAAGACAGTAATTATGGACTATTCACCTAAAATATTTTTATTTCAAGCATATTGCTTTTAACATGTTTTAAAGGTTAATATCTGCTTGCTTTTTAATCTGGAGAGGGGTCTATTAGGTAACAAATGTGAATGGAACAATATGCAGTGCCAAAACCTGGGGAACTGTTTTGACTAATATATAAAAATATTTGCATATGAAGAAAATTATTTGTCCACAAGATTGTTGGTAACTTTAAAACTGTTATAACCTCTCAACTCAATTTTATTTTTATCAGACTCAATTTTATTTTTGTCATATTAGAAACATAATTTCTTCTTTGAAAAAAGCACATAAATGTATAATTTAGTATGAAATAGCTCAGCAAATGATCGTGTTAGGATGTTTTTACTGCCCCCTGGTGTTAGTTTTTGGAGAAAGTAAAATATAGTCAAATTACTGCAAAATATGGTAGTTTTAGGTAAATTAATTGGGGAAATTTGTTAGAAAATAAACTAGAGGCAGGAGTGTTAATGCTTACTTCATGTTTAAAAGCAGCAATTTGAAAAATAAGAAGTGGACACTAGCAAGGGGCTAGTAGATGTAAGATGAGAGGTATAAAAAAGTTTGATTCGGCCAACAAACAATCCTTGAACTAACCACAAGCTTTTCTTTCTTGTTGTGTTTTTTTGTCATTGGTTTGTTGTTGTTGTTATTTTATTGTATATTGTTGCTTGGCTTTGCTTTGTCTTGTTTTTGTGGATGTTATTATCTCCGCAGGTCTGTCTAAATAAGATAGGCTGGATGAATAATCTGGAGGAGAAAACAACGGGACCGACCATTGGGTGGGGGGGGCA